GAGAGGGTGACGCAGAATCGGGTGTTACAAGGGCAGAGTTAGGAAAGAGCTACACCCCCAGCCCATTTTGCACACTGTGTCATTAGCAGGGTTCTCACTGAGCTGCCCAGGCACGGCTTGAACATATGATCCTCTTGCTTCAATCGTGGAGCAGTAGGAATGGAGTCCTGCCTTAAGATCGGACCCTGTTGTTGGCCTTTGTGTGTGCAAGAGAAAGGATAAACAAGAGGAGATAATTAAGGTTAAAAATGAACATAGGAAAACTCATTATGAAACATTATTTTTAACCTTAATTTTTAAAACTTGGAAAATAGAGCTGGGGATGCCATTCAGCAAGAAGTGCTTGCCCAGAATGTCCAAAGCCCAGCACTGAAAGAGAAATCAGAAAATAAATTGCATCTGTTAAAAAAAATAAATTTAAAAAGAGAGAAAGGGAAAAAGAAAAGGTGAAATTCATTAGGTCACGTGAAGTTGGAGAGAAGCCGCTGACTTGGTAACCTTGAGAGTTGTTGAAACAACACCAGGATGCATCAAAGAATCAAGATGAGAAAAAGACGTTCTGGTCTCAGCCTAGACCACAAACATCATGAAGGTCTGTGTTCCTGCTTTGGCTATTATTTCTGTGATCTCCTTGATATGATAACTCTTCCTTCATCTGTCTGCACCTTTCTCCTCTCCCCCTTTCTTCACTTTTCCTCTTTCCTTTCTTTCTTGAATGTCTAACAAGATGCTCCTTGCACTGTGGCAGGCAGAGGCCATATTTTATTAAAGTTTATAGCCCGTGGTTTGTTCAGCAGCATACATGTATGCAGAGCGATGTTACTTGTATCTGAGATTGGATGTCAGGATCTTTTAAAACACATTTTAAACTCTCTCTCTCTCTCTCTCTCTCTCTCTCTCTCTCTCTCTCTCTCACACACACACACACACACACACACACACACACACACTCGCACAACACTCACACACAGAATTACAACTCCCCTTCTGGTTAAAGATCACCGATATCTTCCTCCATCCTGTAACCATATGGTTCTCATGGAAACTGTTTCTCACGCCTTACTCTTTCTGGACTAGGTGAATGCAATGCCTACTATATACTGAACCGATCTAGAAATTCCTCGGGGTATTAAAAGTTGCAATCAAGAAGGGGGGCATTCTTGTTCTCCAGTGATTTAAACCAAAGGTATAAAAGTGCTGCCTTATAATCCATTTTGTGACTTACAAAATAACAGGCATTTGACTAGAACACTTGTTTGCACAACAAGTAGTTGCTAAGTAAAGAACAGGGCAGATAGACAGATTTGGAGGGCGAGACAAACTAAAGCAGAGACACAGTGGATACAGGGAAGGAGACACTGAGACAGAAAAAAACAATGACAAAGGGTTAGGCATTATGGTTTGGCTATTAACATGTAAATTGTGTCTCATTGTGTTTTTTAACATAGAAATACATAATGGGGTATATCTTTTTATAAGACAGATATTTTAAAATACACATTCCTCACAGATGTGTCTATTTCTGTCTCAAAATATTTCTGTTTTTAACAGATAAAGATGTATTTTCCACTGTCTGCATGATAAAGAATTAGTATAACTTCCAAGAGAAGTTTATTTTCAAGTAATGATTTACTAAATTATTTCCACTGCATGGTATTATCCCTGATATTAGTATTACAAAAACATTACAGTGGTGATTTTATCTGAAATGTATATTTTTCATCCTTTCCTTCCTAACCTTCCAGACCAGCAAATTTTAGGTGTAGAGTTTATAAACAAGACACAGTTTTCTTCTATTTTTATTTAAATGGCACATTACTATTCCACAAATGAGGAAAGGGGGCATGGAGAGAAAATGCTGGACCAAAGCAAGAGAGAAATCTAGCAGGGCAAACTCCAAATTCAGTATCCCTATGCCTAATGACATCAAAGGGATTATTGGATGGTTCTTCCTATCTCCCACTTCTTCCAACGCTGCTGACTGTAATGCAGTTCTCCCTTTTGGGCTGGTTCAATGCCCCGTCTGCAGCTCTCCTTCGTAGGTAGCCCATGGCATCTCTAATATCTTGCAGTCTCCAATGCATTGCAGACTTCACTTTCACAACTTCATGCAATGGTCGTTCTTGGCCTCCATTCAGGGACTCCCGTGTCACATGCCTGGCCTCAGCAACTTTCTTTAATTGCAGAGGAAGATCCCACAATCCCTTTACACTATATTTTTTTTGATAAAGCAAAGTTACCAAATTCTGCTTCCTGTTGGGACTGGAAACTGGCCAAATATTTGAATTACATTGCATAAACTTCTGTCGCTGTTCAGGCCAGAGGGATTTCCTACCATAGGTTGCAGGATTAGCTCGGTGGGGTCTTGCCCCGAGAGTACCATACTCATTATTCCATTCAGTATCAGACTTTTCATCTTTGCATCTCCTTCAGTACAGGACTTGACTCCAACGTTACATCTCCTGATGTTTTTTTTTTCACACTCAGTACTAGGTAGAATTGAAATCTCTGTTAATAACATTCATCCAAAACTCTTCCATTTCACTTTCAGTAGATTTTTAGTCCATTTCAATCCATACGCTCTCGGAGCTGAGCATGGAGGTGAACATTTATAAAGCAGCTCTCAGCAGATTGAGAAAGGAGGAGACAGCCCTGGATACACAGTTTGAATAAAAACTTCATTCTTATATAAAAATAATTTGAGGGCAGAACTTTAAAATGAGATTTGTTTTGCCTTATAATTCGAAGATTGTACCCAACTGTTCTGACTCCAGTGGTCCCTAATAGAAATCCAAGAATTTTCAGAGGAGATAAAATGCCCTCTTCCCTAGGATTTTTTACTTCATCTCAAGAATTGTTACAAATCAAATGAATAGTAAAAATATGTGAGAATATATTTGCCATAATGTTAAGGAATGCAATGGCTAGAAACTAGCTCTGTTTCAAACTGAGTTTCAAATTAAGTTACTGTGTAAAAAGGAACTCTCTAGGACTCAGCAGAAATTTATTCTTAATCTGAGGATTGTTAACCTCAGGATGCCTAGACCGCAACTCTAAATTCAGCCCCATCAGCAGTTGAGTCTTGACAGCAACCTAAAGAGGAGACTCTTCTCTTAACCACCTAGCTAATCTCCCAAAATTGTCCCCCCTTCCTCTTATTGTGTAATTGTTATCCTAAAATATTAACCTGACACTCATTCTGCTTCTGTAATCTCACTTAACTGATGTTTGTTCAGAACAAAACAAAACAAAACAAAAAATATGATGACTCACATAGCAAAAAAACCCTCAGTAATTTAGACAGTTGCGGTTTGTACCTTTAAAAACTCCAGCTTCTTTCCGTTTGCAGCAGTTCTCACATTGTTGTCAGAACAGTTCCCAGTTGTCACAACATCCCCATAAATATTAACTTTTTTACTTTTAACTTGAAGTTTTGTCTGGTGGGGTCTTTTCCTGGTGGTCTTGAACCGTGAAACAAAGATATATGAGAGCACCTACCAGGAAATGAAACACTGTATAACTTTTGCATGCTGAACTGGCCTGCATCAGTTATGAAGATGAGATAATCCTTACTGTGTTATCCCACTTTCTTTTGTTAGCAAAATAAACAAACCAGGTGGCTCGTTTTCTACTCAAAACTTTTAAAATATCCATTCCTGAATTTCAAAAAGTAAAGACAATTGGGCTTGACAGGTGAAAATCATTTGCTCTTGCAGAGATTCTGAGTTTGGCTTTCATTACAGCTCCCATTGGCCAGTAGCTTTAGAAAGGATCCAATCCCATATTCTGGCCTCTAGCTACTGAATGTGCATATTGATACACCACAGATGCAAACCCCCATAAAATCCTTTGTAAAAAGTTGATAGGCCTTGTCCTCCTGCTGTTAACAGCAATAACTCAGAATTCTAATTGTGTCTCGCTTCTTTGACCAACATTCTAGCTCACTTATGACCTTTTTCTCCTAATGGTGATACAGTACTGACAGTTTTCTAAGACACCTTTGTAGAGTCTGACCATTCTCAACTACTGTCAAGCTAGGAGGGAGCTGAATTAGTGGTCTTTCAATTCAGTGGCAGTTTTACTCCGTTAACTCCCTGCATCAGTATTTAGCTTCACACTACCCTAACGGGCTCATAACTGTCCCAGGGAAGGTCTTTCCACTGTCATGGGCTAACAATGTAACTGCTGGTTGGCTGCCCTGGATTATACCTGCTCAATAGGCAAACTCACACATGCACAGCTTTTTTCTGAAAATGAAGGTGGCTCTGAAAAGAGCCGTTTGTTTTAAGCTATGAAGTACAATCACTTGTTCTGGGAGTCACTTGGTCTGGGTCTTGTGGCTGCTCTCGGTCTTCTTGGGCAGCAGCACCGCCTGGATGTTGGGCAGGACGCCGCCCTGTGCGATCGTCACGCGGCCCAGCAGCTTGTTGAGCTCCTCGTCGTTGCGGATGGCCAGCTGCAGGTGGCGCGGGATGATGCGCGTCTTCTTGTTGTCGCGGGCCGCGTTGCCAGCCAGCTCCAGGATCTCGGCTGTCAGGTATTCCAGCACGGCTGCCAGGTACACTGGTGTGCCAGCCCCGATGCGCTCTGCATAGTTCCCTTGGCGAAGGAGCCTATGGACACGGCCCACAGGGAACTGCAGGCCGGCCCGAAAAGAGCGGGACTTGGCCTTCGCACGAGCCTTGCCACCCTGCTTCGCACGTCCAGACATTGTCTTCGAAATGCTTGAAGAAAAGGGTAACCAAGCTAGCGCTTCCACGCCTATTTATAGTCTGATGGACGGTAACACTAGCCACCTGATTGGCTGATTGATGCTGGACTAGCCAATCAGGAAGCAGTACTTGAATTCCCCTTATTTGCATGCACAGAGCACTTATTATCCAATCAGATAACGTGTATCCTTACGTCAGTTGAGGTCCACGCCTATAAAAGCCTCTTCTCCACTTCCAGCCAACTGTATTTCTCAGTAGTTGGCACTCCTCTGAGCCGTTGGGGTGCGAAAGGTTACTTTCACCATGCCAGAGGTGTCGGCCAAGGGCACAACCATTTCCAAGAAAGGCTTCAAGAAAGCGGTCACGAAGACTCAGAAGAGGGAGGGCCGGAAGCGTAAGAAGTGCCGTAAAGAGAGCTACTCCATCTACATCTATAAGGTGCTGAAGCAAGTTCACCCCGACACCGGCATCTCCTCCAAGGCCATGGGCATCATGAACTCGTTCGTCAACGACATCTTCGAGCGCATCGCGGGCGAGGCGTCGCGCCTGGCGCATTACAACAAGCGCTCGACCGTCACCTCCCGGGAGATCCAGACAGCCGTGCGCCTGCTGCTGCCCGGGGAGCTGGCCAAGCACGCCGTGTCCGAGGGCACCAAGGCCGTCACCAAGTACACCAGCGCCAAGTAAACTTTCCAAGCGACACCACCAAAGGCTCTTTTCAGAGCCACCCACCTCTTCGAGCAAGAGAGCTTTGCTTAGTCTCTTGGTCCTCGCCCTGAGCTTGGGCATGTGGGCTCTTGAGCATGTGGGAACCTGGCCCAGGCTGCGGTGAAGGGAGTTTCACTGGCCATCGCAACAGCTTTTCAAATGTTTTGTTTTCAGAGGAGGAACACATAATCCCAAAGTAATTTGAGACCCGAGGCTGAGGGCTTTCTGGTCTGATGTCTTCTGTCTAGTGAGGGTTCTAGGATTTAGTTTTGTTGGAAACACAGCAACGGTAGGTAGGGGCTGCCTGGTAGACTCAAATGCTTCATAGCGGACAATTGTTAGGTGGAGTCAACTGACAAATGGCAATAACGGAATTTCGTGTTCCTGCCAAGATGGCCACCGCGGGCTATGCCTTTGTTGGTTGGTACCATCTCTAGCCAGAGTCTAAGTGCCCCAGCTTTCAGATCCTTGCCTATTGTGACCACTCTTAATATTACCACTATATATATATTTAGGGAAAAAGCTAGAAAAGGCTTCTCTCTTCGAACCTGACATAGCTTTAACATCATATACAGTCTGTCTGCAGTGAGAGGAAATGTTAGCAGACTAGTCTGGGGTAATACTATCTCTGAACAGGACCAGCAAGTGTAGAAAGGTTCAAATAAGAAGAGGGTCCTGCTCCACTGCCCAGCAGTCTACTGTCCTCTGCCTTGGCCAGATTCCATCTTTACACTAGTCTGTACATTATATACACATATCTGAAAATAGTAATGGTTTTACTGCCTTACACAGCTTTCCCAAACAGTGTCCCTAGTTGGGTATTTTATAGCTCTGAAGAGACATGCGACCAAGACGACTCTAACAAGAATCACTTAATTGGTAGCTTAAAGTTTTAGAGAGTTAGTCCATGATCATCATGGCAGGAAGGAGACAGATACAGTGCTGGAGCAGTTGCTGAGATCTTTACCTCCTGATCTGAAGGAAGACAGGACACAGCGATAGACACTGCCTGGGCAGTGCTTTTGTAGCCTCCATCCCCAGTGAAACACTTCCTCCAATAAGACCACACCTCCTCCAGCAAGGCTACACCTCCTAATTGTATTCTTCTCAGTTTAGCTCCCTGGTGGCTAAACAGAACTTATGAGGCCATTCTCATTCAAACCACCACAAAGAACCAAGTGTTCAAACACAAGAGCAAATGGGAGAGATTTCATACTCAAACCATTATGGTTCTGCTCCACAATACGGGTCTGCTCCACAGTACGGGTCTGCTCCACAATGCAGGATGACCTCATTTCAATATTGCTAAAACTACATCCTTAAACATTGCTTCTAAGCATGGTCAAACTTCAGGGGTGAGGCATGAGCATTCCCTCTGTGAAACAGTTTACCATGCACCTCACATCTTAAACCTGACCCTTAGGCTTTAGTGCCACATTAAATACTCAAATCACATGAATCAGAAATATTTTATAAATTACAGATTCCGCAAAGCCTTCTTTGGTCATAAATTCACCTGCCCCAAATTTTCTATGCCATTACCTTGAGAAATTATTGAGACAACTTTCCTATTTGTGTTTATTTCCAGAAGCCCTATGCTACTAGGGGCTTTTTGGGCAATCCCTCATACATGCACCCTCACATCCTCCATTCATTCAATGGACAAACGCTCTGAGAATGGGGAAAGGAACATGGTTCTTATAAATAACTTTTTGGAAAGGAAAATAAGGAGAATGCTACGAAGTGGAGGTGTATCTGTCCCTACTCAACAGTACAGGCCAAGGATAGCAGCTCGCAGTCGACTGAAAAGTGGAAACTTGAGTCAGATGGTCCTGCTTCTTCAGGGAGAGTGGGTTTCTATTTCTGCAATGAAACTCTTACCAAAACAACTTGAGGACAAAAGTGTTTCCATCTTACAGCCGTAGTTCATCAGGAACAGACTTCAGGGCAGGAACTCAAGGAAGGAACTGCGTGGAGGCTGAGAAATGCAGACCCCTGCTCACTGTTGTCTGATGGTCAGAGAGTTTGGAGACTGACAGGCATAATTTGCACCTTCTAACTCAGGAGGTGGTTGCTTGGCTCTTTTAAAGTTAAGAAAGCTCGGTGCCATCTTGACAGGTGGTCAGGATATGCAAATGTACTTCTGCTCCTTCCATTGTAACTATGAGGTCACCTGGGAAAGGGCTGTTTTCTGCCTACATGAAACAATGTGGTTTGTGTAGTAACTTGGGTCATCTTGCTACCTTGGCAACAGAATGCTGATGGTGGGAAGTCTCAGGATGGATGTATGAGTTAATCTTGTTGTATCAAGTTAATGAAGTCTTTGTTACCTTCTCCCTCAGTTTACATTGGGTATAAAAGCTGTGGAAAATAAACGCGGGTGATTCAGGATCTGAGTAATCTCTGAAACTCTCTCTTGATATTGTCTTGTGGTTTCTGACTTTATTTCCCATTCCCCTACCCTGGTAAGAGGTGATTTTGTTGAGGCCAGTCCTCAACAGGACTGAAGCAGAGACCATGAAGGAATGCTGCCTACTGGCCTTTCAACTTGTTTTCTTCCACAACCCCGAACCGCCAGACCAGGGTGGCACAGTGCACTAGGCTCTCCCACATCAATCACTAACCAACAAAATGTCCCGCAAACTTACAAACACAAACCAATCTGATCAAGGCATTTTCTCAAATATAGGTCTTCTTCCTACATAAGTCTAGCCGTATCAAGTTGACAAAACCAGCCAGGATAAATGGTATGTCTATACAGAACTAGTCAGTGATTGAAGAACAAGCAATTGCTGCATAGAACACAATGAATAGATTTGGAACTATGCTCCCAAGTGAATAAGACTGAAAATTACCAGTGTTTCAGATGCAGACACAGCAGATTTTGGAGATTTGATGTCTCCAAGTGTTTCATTGTGGCAGCTGGGGCCCCTGATTGATGACACATGCTTCCGTATAATGTACCTTCTGTCTGTTATCTCTTTGGTCTTACACTTAAGCACTCAGGAGTTCCTTCAGGGGCATCTCATTGTACACAAAGGTACAAGGCTTTTCTCCCTATGAATTAAAAAAGCATTTTAAAATTATGTGTGTGCATGTAGAGTATGTGGGCGTGTACGTGTGTGTGTATGTACACTAATTGGGTATGTGTATATGTGTGTATGTGCATATGTGTGTGCATACAGTAATTGGGTATGTGTATATGTTTGTGTATGTAGAATATGTGGCTATGTGCACGTGTATGTGTATGTCCAGTAATTGGGTATGTGCAAATGTGTGTGAAGGTGCTTTTAGAGGTCAGCGGTATCAGATCCCTTGGATCTGGCTTAAATGTGGTTGTGAGACACTGGTTGTGGGTTCTGGGAACTGAACTGCTCTAGAAGAGCAGAAAGCATTCTTAACTACTGAGCTGTCTTCTCTCCAGCCTTTGCTATGATTTTTTTTTACTGTATACTTTATTTCAAACTCAACTTTTTTATTGTAGAGAAAGCCAGTATGGACAGTGTAGCTCTTTTGAAGGAAATATAAATCAAATTGAAGGTTCTAGTTAAGTTTTCAAGTAGTTGGTGTCTTTTATTCTTTCTGTAATGTTGATCTGCTCTTGGAGAAAGCGTTCAGGCAATGAAGAGTGTCTCTCTCACTCAGAATCCTCTAACTGAAATATGAGATAACCTGTAGCTCTCCCAGCAGTTCTGAACACCACAAAGGATCCTGTCATGTGAGCCAAGAACAAGTTATGAAGGAATGCAAGCTCAGTGGACAAATTGTCGGTTTCCAACCTAAATGCTTCGAAATAGGATCTTCACGATCCCACTGCAATCTTCTTTGTACGGAGACCCAACCATACACACAATGTCTTCTCAGAACTCTGGTGCTGCAGCCAGGGCTCAGAAGCTACAAGGGTGTTGACCTAAAGAATATTTTTTCCTCTACCTGTTGCCAAAGGAGAGAACTCTTCGTCTCTGGTCTCATGGCAGGCTTTACCTCAAACCCACAGCTCTGGGCCTTTCTGTCATTTTTTTTTCTGGTGATGCTAATCACTAAGAGAAGACCTGGAAAATGGTAACCCACTTCTCCACGCAAAACACCTTAGCCTGATTTACCTAGGATCTGAATTTTCCCTTAAAACTATGGCAAAATTCAGTTGGGTATTTAGAGATACGGTCCCAGCAAATAGGAAGCAATTTTGCCTGGTGAGCCTGTCACATCAAGCATAGCAGCTAACACCAATTTGGTTATCCAATCAATGAAGTATAGACATAACATCGAAGTCCAAAGTTCGCAGCCCTTCAGAGTGTGGGTGGATCCTGACTTGTGAATGTGATGTGGCCTTTGGCCAGTTTTATTTGCCTGCTGTATAGCTGTCAATGACCTCATTCTCAGGCATGGGCTAAGCACAAGTCCATGTCCATCTTCCCAACGATTGCAGGTAGATGCTTGCTGAAATGTGCCAGACTTGATGCCACGTGCTATGCAGTGCAAGCAGACAGAGCTGTTGATCTCCTGATAAGGCCCCTTTCGGTGAGGTGAGGACTATGACTGACCTCTTGGTCCTTATGCTTCTCAACCATGCTGAGTGCCAGCAACCGTTTGGATACTTTGTAGCAAGCCTGGCATGGCTGGCACAAGCTGCAAGGACAGCAAACGGTGAGCAGATCTGGGCGGTGGTGGCACAGGCCTTTAACCCCAGTTCTTGGGAGGTGGAAGCAGACAGGTGTGAGTTCGAGGCCAGCCTGGTCTACAGAGTGAGTTCCAGGACAGCCAGGCTACACAAAGAAACCCTGTTTAGAAACAAATAAACAGCAAAGTGAGTGGAATCTAATTTGGAGCAAGGTGTTTACAGTCACCAAGCTCAAATGGGCAGCTGCGCATATGTAAATACAACAGTACTGGTAAGTTCTTAGGTTACTAAGACGCTAACACCTTTCACAAAGCCAGAACTCTGGACTTAGCGTCACAATGAGCACGAAAGGTGTTTTAACAGTCACCCGTTTTTTTGTTATTTTTGTTATAGCAGCTACGTTAATGGGGAATTGTGGGAAAGACTTAGCCCAGGCTAAGTTCCACCAGCAGTGAGGGACCTATGGACTCCCAGCCATGTTCAAAAAGACCAGTTCTGTTCCCGGTACAGACCCAAGCGGTGGGGCGCACAACCAGGCCAAGTGAGATTCGGAGTGGACCTGCAAGGCATCTGGCCGCAGGAAGATGGCCACCTTCTCCATCTATGTTCAAATGGCAGAAATCAGGACAAGTTCAAACTGTTTAGGATTAGAGACCATTGCTAGGAATGGCGCCTTCTCTAGTACTAAGCCTTCTGCACGCTGTTCCAAGCTAGCAACACTTCCCACATTGCAACAGCCAGTGAGTGACCTGGATTCCCAAAGGGAAAAACACGAAGTTGAAACCAGACTCTTATCAGAGACACTCACCCTTTTCACGAAGAGTGTGACTGAATTACAGGGTCACAGGGGATTTGCTTATCAGCCATAAGTTTAAAAGCTACCTTTCACACAGTAACAGAACTGTGAGGAGAATTTAGTACTGGTGGAAGTGGTGTCTAAAAGGTTTTTCCCGCTCTGGTGATCCGAGGCTGTAATTTATGGTCGTGGATGGTATAGGACGAGGCAGGTAAAACTGGTCAGAGCAGGTCCTAGTTGTGACGCTATTATTGTTATTATTAAAGGAACAAGTCCAGATCAGATGTTGCTGTGCTGGCCTATGTTGCTCCTGAGAAAAAGAAGGAAGGTGTGGGATCCTCTTTGAGACCCTCCTAGTATTCTAAGGGTGAAATAACTGTGAATGATTGGATTCAAAATATAGATAAATTGCTAACTTATTTTTGGAGAGCAGACGTACGGGGTGAGTGACGTGGGGAGCACCTCTCAGCATCTGGTGGCAAGTGTTACCATTGTCTTCTAGCCAAGGTTTCTCAGGAACTGTAGGGCATCCTGCATCTGTAACTATACCATGTAAATAAAAACAAGGACCCATGCGAATGTTTGCTACCTGTGAAGCCATTTAGTAAAATATTAGTTCCATTGGTTTGTATTATACAGAGGTTATTATCTCAAGAAAAAAATTTTAACAGTGAAATGGGCAGGACTGGAGGCTCCAGTGCCAGATAGACACTGGACACTGAAAACTAAACAGTAAGGCAAGGCACACACAACAGTAAAAAGCCACAGAAAGGGCCGGTTGTGCAGCAAACAGATGTGAAACAAAGCGGACTCTGCCGTGATAAGCTACAAAAATTCCCTTAAAATCTACAGAGTTAACAATTGTCCTAATGTTCAAGTCTGCGAGAACTGGCCATGAGACACATTAGAGGGAAAGGATTAAACCTGAGATTAAACCTGAGAGCTTCACGAAGAACTGGAGAATGGATTCAGGGATTGTTTTAAAATTCTAGTCGTACAGTTCTGAAGAATATGAACATATTTTAGAATAATGATGGAATGCGAGTTTCTGAAGAAATATAAAGCGATTGCCACGGATCTGGAAGGCAGTGAGTTGTATGCTGGCAGGAGGAAGCTGGCGTCATGGGTGGGCTAATGTCCTCACACACACTTCCACTGTTCACTCCCAAACACTTTAGAGATGGACAAATGTGGCCAGGGAAGTGGCTCCACACTGTGACAGAACCCTACTCTTGTTGTTTTAGAAATATGGGAAGATCCAGTAAAAGCTGCCAAGTGCTGATTCCGTGGGACACAAGACAGACTCAGTTACAAGAATCCACAAATCTTCCTTTAATATGAACGACAACACTGGGTCCAACAACAACAACAACAACAACAACAAAACCCCCCAAACAAAACAGAAACAAATACAAAAAACAAAGGCAAAACAGGGTCCATCAAGGTCCATCAAGGATGTTTGAGTATTGTGTAAGATGCAAACTTTAGTCACTTTATTAAAATTAAGGGAAAACAAATCTATTTCAGACTCAGTAGATGTTTCTAAGATATTTAGTAATAGACTGAATTGTATAACTGATTATGCTGGCTGCTCGTAGGTCAACTTGACACACAAGCTAGAATTACCCGAAAAGAGGGAACCTTAGTTGAGAAGATACTTCCATAAGATCCAGCTGTAAGGCATTTTTTTAGTTAGTGATTGATGGGGAAGGACCTAGACCCATGGTGGATGGTGCTGTCCCTGGGCTGCTGGTCCTGGATTCTATAAGAAAGCAGCTGAGCAAGCCAGGGAAAGCAACTCAGTAAGCAGTACCCCTCTGTGGCCTCTGCATCAGCTCCTGCCTCCAGGATTCTGCTCCTTTTGAGTTCCTGTCCTGACTTCCTTCAATGATGAACAATGCTGTCGAAGTGTAAGCCAAATAAGCTTTTTCCTCCCCAGTTAGCTTTTTGGTTATG